GGTACTGTGTCAAAGGCTTTTTGACCAGGAAAATGCAGTCGGCCCACCCTTCTCTTTCCTGTCTAATTTTTGTTGCCTGGTCATAGAATTCTATTAAACCTGTGAGGCACGATTTACCATCCCTGAACCCATGTTGGTGGTGCGTTACAAAGTTATTTCCCTCCAGATGCTCTACGAGCCTTTTCCTCACGATCTTGTCCGTCACCTTGCATGGTATACAAGTTAGGGAAACTGGCCTGTAGTTCAGTGCCTCCTGCCTGTCACCCTTCTTGTAGATCGGGGTGTAAGTTTTCAGTTGCATATATGCCTGGAGACCGTTCAGGCTTGTGTGTGTGTATATATATATATATATATATATATATATATATATATATATATATATATATATATATTGACAATTATAATGTCAATGCAATATAATGCCCCCTGACAATTATATTATATATATATAATATAATTATTTGCTGTACTGTTCACGAGTCAAATAGCAAATCTAAAAGAACGTTGTTGAAATTACTGAGGTTGATCACGATGCGTGTGTTGGGGGAGGGGATGGAGATGGGGGGAGGGGAGAAGTGGTGGCGATAGTGGTGGTGGTGGTGGTGGGGAGGAGACGACGGAAGTGGTGCCGCTGGTGGACACAACCCAGGCACTGCTACTGCCCCACACATACACACACACACACACAAACACACACACACACACACACACACACACACACACACACACACACACACACACACACACACACACACACACACATACCACACACACACACACATACCACACACACATACCACACACACACACACATACCACACACACACACATACACACACATACCACACACACACACACACATACCACACACACACACACACACACACACACACACACACACACACACACACACACACACACACACACACACACACACACGGTAGAGGGAAGGTAGAGGAGGAGGCGGAGTGGCCCTACTCATGAGAAGGGAATGGAGTTTTAAGGAGATGGCCATCCCGGGCTGTGAGGAGTTCAGAGACTACATAGCAGGCACCATAACAATGGGAGGACCAAGAATAGTAGTAGCAGTAATATACAACCCTCCACCAAATGACAGGAGACCCAGTCAAGAGTATGAAAACAACAACAAAGCAGTTAACACTATAATTGAGAGGGCAGCCTCTGCTGCCTGTAGAAATAGATCCCACCTGCTCATCATGGGCGACTTCAATCACGGAAAGATTGACTGGGAGAACAAGGAACCGCATGGAGGCGAGGATACGTGGAGAGCCAAACTATTGGAGGTGGTGACAAGCAACTTTTTAACGCAGCATGTCGGAGAACCCACAAGGATGAGAGGCAATGACGAACCAGCGAGACTCGACCTAGTCTTCACTCTGAACGACTCCGACATAAGAGAAATCGGTTTTGAGGACCCAGTAGGAATGAGCGACCACAGTGTACTGGTGTTTGAGTACTTGGTTGAAGAAGGGTTATTGAACTCGAGGAGGGATACCGAAACCAAAAGGTTAGCATACCGAAAGGGAAACTATGAGGGGATAAGAAAATTCCTAACAGATATAGCATGGGAAACAGAGCTCAGGGGAAAGACGGCCCAAGATATGATGGATTACATCACGCAGAAGTGCAAGGACGCAGCAAACAAGTTTGTCCCAGTCCAAAAGGAAAACAGAGAAATGAAGATGAGAAACCCATGGTTTAATCAAAGATGTAGGCTAGCTAAGCAGCAAAGTAAAAGGGCATGGAGAAACTATAGGAATAACAGGACACTGGAGAGCAGAGAAAGATACCAGAATGCCAGGAATGAATATGTCAGGATGAGAAGAGAGGCAGAAAGACAATACGAAAATGACATCGCAAGCAAGGCAAAGACTCAGCCTAAATTGTTGCATAGCCACATTAGGAGAAAAACAACAGTAAAGGAACAGGTTATGAGATTAAGGATAGGGGCGGAAGGATTCACTACAAATGACAAGGAAGTGTGTGAGGAATTGAATAAGAAATTCCAGGAGGTCTTCACCTTAGAACAAGGAGAAATTCCAGAGGTAAGTGAGGGAATAGCTAACCAGGAACCACTGGAAGAGTTTGAGATTACCAGTGGGGAAGTAAGGAAGTGTTTACTAGAGTTGGACGTGACGAAGGCTATAGGCCCAGATGGAATCTCCCCTTGGGTTCTAAAGGAAGGAGCAAGAGAACTGAGCCTACCACTCTCCATAGTGTATAACAAATCACTGGCAACAGGGGAACTGCCAGATATTTGGAAAGCAGCTAACGTAGTCCCGATATACAAGAAAGGGGATAGACAGGAGGCACTGAACTACAGGCCAGTGTCCCTAACCTGCATACCATGCAAGCTGATGGAGAAGATTGTGCGAAAAAAACTAGTGGAGCATCTGGAGCGAAGGAACTTTGTAACACAGCATCAACATGGGTTCAGGGATGGCAGGTCCTGCCTCACAGGGTTACTTGAATTCTACGACCAGGCAACAAAAATAAGGCAAGAAAGAGAAGGGTGGGCAGACTGCATATTTTTGGATTGTCAGAAAGCCTTTGATACAGTGCCACACAAGAGGCTAGTGCGAAAGTTGGAGATGCAGGCTGGAGTGAGAGGGAAGGTACTCCGGTGGATAGAGGAATACCTAAGCAACAGGAGACAACGAGTCTGTGTGAGGGGTGAGGTCTCAGATTGGCGAGACGTCACAAGTGGAGTCCCGCAGGGGTCAGTCCTTGGACCTATACTGTTTCTGGTATATGTAAATGATCTCCCAGAGGGTATAGATTCGTTCCTCTCAATGTTTGCCGACGATGCAAAAATTATGAGGAGGATTGAAACAGAGGATGATAGTAGGAGGCTACAAGATGACCTGGATAGACTGAGTGAATGGTCCAACAAATGGCTGTTGAAGTTCAACCCGAGTAAATGCAAAGTAATGAAACTAGGCAGTGGAAACAGGAGGCCAGGCACAGGATACAGAATAGGAGATGAAGTACTTAATGAAACAGACAGAGAGAAAGATCTAGGAGTTGATATCACACCAAACCTGTCTCCTGAAGCCCACATAAAGAGAATAACGTCTGCGGCATATGCGAGGCTGGCTAACATCAGAACGGCGTTCAGGAACCTGTGTAAGGAATCATTCAGAATCTTGTACACCACATATGTAAGACCAATCCTGGAGTATGCGGCCCCAGCATGGAGCCCGTACCTTGTCAAGCACAAGACGAAGCTGGAAAAAGTCCAAGGGTATGCTACTAGACTAGTCCCAGAACTAAGAGGCATGAGTTATGAGGAAAGGCTGCGGGAAATGCACCTCACGACACTGGAAGACAGAAGAGTAAGGGGGGACATGATCACAACCTACAAAATCCTCAGGGGAATCGACCGGGTAAACAAGGATGAACTTTTCAACACTGGTGGGACGCGAACAAGGGGACACAGGTGGAAGCTGAGTACCCAAATGAGCCACAGAGACGTTAGAAAGAACTTTTTCAGTGTCAGAGTAGTTAGCAAATGGAATGCATTAGGAAGTGATGTGGTGGAGGCTGACTCCATTCACAGTTTCAAATGTAGATATGATAGAGCCCAATAGGCTCAGGAATCTGTACACCAGTTGATTGACGGTTGAGAGGCGGGACCAAAGAGCCAGAGCTCAACCCCCGCAAGCACAATTAGGTGAGTACACACACACACACACCCTTCCCCACGTTACCCCTTCCACCACCACCACCCATCTGTGTCCCCACCACACACTCCCCTTACACGACCTCCGTTGCATGTCGCTTGGACCACACTCTCCAGCTTCCTTTCCCCCCTCCTTCCTTGCCCCTGACAACCAGGGTCACCCTCGCCGCCCTCTGGACACGTCCTACGACAATACCAACCCTCACAACCTTCATTGCAACGTCTCTCACGCTCTGTCTTCTTTTTTTTTTAAGTCCCCCCCCCCCTCCCGCCACAATGCAGGGCGCGTTTATTAGGCAGCATCATAAGTTGTTTGAGAGCACATTTTCCCCCCTAGCAAGCATATGCAACATCCTCCAATAGGAAGAACACTGGCTGGGTTGTTCATGTACATCTTGCTGTACCCACACGCAGCTATTGGGACTTATGTAACTGCCTCAAGTAAACAGCTTATCAAGCAAGCAGGTTTTCATTTACTAAGCCTTAAGCTTAAGATAATCTTGTGGGTGCAAAGTGTGGAGGGAAGGGCGGTAATCTTTTACGGACAGTATCTGTATTGACAGTGTTTTACCAACTCAAACAATGTGGAGTTTATGATTCTACTCATAATTCTAATGTCTCTTAGATGATCACATTTTCTCAGGTAGTGATCAAGGCGGTGTCCGTCACTCTCGCCACAGATTCTGCAACTCCTCTGCTCATCTATTGTTTCCATCCCGAGTCTCCATGGGTACTTGTATCCAAGACGAATTCTTGCTATTACCGATTCTCTCCCGCGGCCACCACCTCTTCGTCCATAATGATTGGGATTCTCATCTGCCAGCACATTGCACCAGCGTACAGATTCGCTGATTTTGTGTTCCAGTCCTCCTTTGCTTAGTTACCTTGTCTCTGTGATATTGCCTGATAATCTCTTTAATTTAAACAGCCATTTAAAGGTATGGGGGGGGGGGGAGTTACAAGGAACCTCCTGGCATGCTGGGGTTCACAAGGTTTTCTTCCTGGCATGCTGGGGTTCACAAGGTTCCCCTCCTGCCATGTTGGGGTTCACAAGGTTCCCCCTCCTGCCATGTTGGGGTTCACAAGGTTCCCCCTCCTGGCATGTGGGGGGTTCACAAGGTTCCCCTCCTGCCATGTTGGGGTTCACAAGGTTCCCCCTCCTGGCATGCTGGGGTTCACAAGGTTCACCTCCTGCCATGTTGGGGTTCACAAGGTTCCACTCCTGGTATGTGGAAGGGTTCACAGAGCTAATCAGGAACACACTACCGCGAATTAAAGTTTTTTTTCCTGATTTAACTCATTGTGGGTCCAGTGGGAGATCATTACATAACAAATTAAAAGACATCTGATGACTTGTTGGAAATTTCAAGAACACCACCACCGACAGGTGTCGGGGCCGATTAGAATGTGTCGGGACTGTTCCAAGGGTGTCGGGACTGTTCCAAGGGTGTCGGGACTGTTCCAAGGGTGTCGGGACTGTTGCAAGGGTGTCGGGATTGTTGCAAGGGTGTCGGGATTGTTCCAAGGGTGTCGGGATTGTTCCAAGGGTGTCGGGACTGTTCCAAGGGTGTCGGGACTGTTCCAAGGGTGTCGGGACTGTTCCAAGGGTGTTAGGACTGTTGCAAGGGTGTCGGGACTGTTCCAAGGGTGTCGGGACTGTTCCAAGGGTGTCGGGACTGTTCCAAGGGTGTCGGGACTGTTCCAAGGGTGTCGGGACTGTTCCAAGGGTGTCGGGACTGTTCCAAGGGTGTTGGGACTGTTGCAAGGGTGTCGGGACTGTTGCAAGGGTGTCGGGATTGTTGCAAGGGTGTCGGGATTGTTCCATGGGTGTCGGGACTGTTGCAAGGGTGTCGGGACTGTTCCAAGGGTGTCGGGACTGTTCCAAGGGTGTCGGGACTGTTCCAAGGGTGTCGGGACTGTTGCAAGGGTGTTGGGACTGTTCCAAGGGTGTCGGGACTGTTCCAAGGGTGTCGGGACTGTTGCAAGGGTGTCGGGACTGTTGCAAGGGTGTCGGGACTGTTGCAAGGGTGTCGGGACTGTTGCAAGGGTGTCGGGACTGTTGCAAGGGTGGCGGGACTGTTCCAAGGGTGTCGGGACTGTTGCAAGGGTGTCGGGGACTGTTGCAAGGGTGTCGGGGACTGTTGCAAGGGTGTCGGGGACTGTTGCAAGGGTGTTGGGACTGTTGCAAGGGTGTTGGGGACTGTTGCAAGGGTGTCGGGACTGTTGCAAGGGTGTCGGGACTGTTGCAAGGGTGTCGGGACTGTTGCAAGGGTGTCGGGACTGTTGCAAGGGTGTCGGGGACTGTTGCAAGGGTGTCGGGGACTGTTGCAAGGGTGTCGGGGACTGTTGCAAGGGTGTCGGGGACTGTTGCAAGGGTGTCGGGGACTGTTGCAAGGGTGTCGGACTGTTGCAAGGGTGTCGGGGACTGTTGCAAGGGTGTCGGGACTGTTGCAAGGGTGTCGGGACTGTTGCAACGGTGTCGGGGCCGAATAAAATGTGTCGGAACGGTCGCAAGGGTGCCGGAACTGTTGCAAGGGTGTCGGAACTGTTGCAAGGGTGTCGGAACGGTCGCAAGGGTGTCGGAACGGTCGCAAGGGTGCCGGAACTGTTGCAAGGGTGTCGGAACTGTTGCAAGGGTGCCGGAACTGTCGCAAGGGTGCCGGAACTGTCGCAAGGGTGCCGGAACTGTTGCAAGGGTGTCGGAACCGATCAAATTCGTCGGTGCCTTTCCCGAGGTGTCGGAAGCGACGACTGGCAGCGAGTATTGCGTGGGGCCCCCCGACAACACTTACGCCGAACTGCCGGTATAACTTAAGTAATTATAGGGTTTGCTCGCGTAATTACAGACAGACTAATACCCCGCGGCCCAACTCCTGTTGTAGGTATATGATTCTGTGAGTTTGTTATGAGTCGGCAGGCCTGAGTGCACTCCTTGAGAGGCGAGTGTGTGAGTGTGTTCTCCTTGAGAGGTGAGTGCGTGAGTGCACTCCTTGAGAGGCGAGTGTATGGGTGCTCTACTCCTTGAGAGGCGAGTGTATGGGTGCTCTACTCCTTGAGAGGCGAGTGTATGGGTGCTCTACTCCTTGAGAGGCGAGTGTGTGGGTGCTCTACTCCTTGAGAGGCGAGTGTGTGAGTGTGTTCTCCTTGAGAGGCGAGTGTGTGGGTGCTCTACTCCTTGAGAGGCGAGTGTGTGGGTGCTCTACTCCTTGAGAGGCGAGTGTGTGGGTGCTCTACTCCTTGAGAGGCGAGTGTGTAGGTGTTCTACTCCTTGAGAGGCGAGTGTGTGGGTGCTCTACTCCTTGAGAGGCGAGTGTGTGGGTGCTCTACTCCTTGAGAGGCGAGTGTGTGGGTGCTCTACTCCTTGAGAGGCGAGTGTGTGGGTGCTCTACTCCTTGAGAGGCGAGTGTGTGGGTGCTCTACTCCTTGAGAGGCGAGTGTGTGGGTGCTCTACTCCTTGAGAGGCGAGTGTGTGGGTGTGTTCTCCTTGAGAGGCGAGTGTGTGGGTGCTCTACTCCTTGAGAGGCGAGTGTATGGGTGCTCTACTCCTTGAGAGGCGAGTGTGTGGGTGCTCTACTCCTTGAGAGGCGAGTGTGTGGGTGCTCTACTCCTTGAGAGGCGAGTGTGTGGGTGCTCTACTCCTTGAGAGGCGAGTGTGTGGGTGCTCTACTCCTTGAGAGGCGAGTGTGTGGGTGCTCTACTCCTTGAGAGGCGAGTGTGTAGGTGCTCTACTCCTCGAGAGGCGAGTGTGTAGGTGCTCTACTCCTTGAGAGGCGAGTGTGTAGGTGCTCTACTCCTTGAGAGGCGAGTGTGTAGGTGTTCTCCTTGAGAGGAGTGTGTGTGGGTGCTCTACTCCTTAAGGGGTAGAGTGTGGGTGCTCTCGTCCTTGAGAGGCGAGTGTGTGAGAACGTTCCACGCTGGTTGAAAAGATAATCAGGGGGGAATTCATTCAGCATCCGGAAAAGATGAAGCTCGTAGCTCAACCGAATTAAATGTCGTTTACAATACTGTGTCCCGGGCCTTCTGTCTCTCTCCACCCGTCTCACGCTAAAATGTAGTGACATGTGACAGTCATCCTGATATCAATACCACTTACGACTTTTAATATTATCTGGCATTTCTAGGTTCAATTGCTTAAATTTTATCCTTTTATCACACATTTTGTTACATATTTTTGCTAGTCTGGGCTCCCTAGTGTATTTTGTATGTTGTGATCATGTGTTATGATGCATTGGTCGAGTGGGGTGTGGTGTGCATTTTTCTGGAGGGAGGTTTTCTCAACAGCTGGGTTCTCTGAGGTATGGGGTCGAGTGTTATAGATGAAAGGATATGAATGTGTGTGTTGCCTAGAACACAGGGCAGTAAACACGCGCACGCACGCACGCACACATGGAGAGGGGGGAGTAGAAAGTGTGAGGCTCGCTCACCAGAGGGAACCAAGAACACACACTTGGGAACTATAATGCCCTGATATACGTTACCACACTGCGATATGTGAGAAATTCAGTATCACATAAGCAGCAGGTGCCACAAACCAATGCACCAATATACCAAATCACACTGTCTAGAGCTGAATATGAGGTAATTATGAGGAGAAAGCACAAAGCTAATAATGCTATGTAACACTGTTCAGGAATATGAGGAGGAGGAATTGGATGGTGGGCAGATATATATACCTGTTAATGTGTTATTATAATGTGTTATTAGAATATATATAATATGTTATTAAAGGGACCAGAAGTAGACTCCACCTGACTCCTGTTAATACATTGATTCACTTAAATAAATACTAAAAAATGAATTCAATTATTCTGAAAAGAATTGTTTGATTTTAATATTGGCAAGTTTGAGAACTTAATTACAAAACATAAATGCTGAATTAAATCGTTTAGAAGAATGAACTGTGAATAATGAAAAAAGTAACGTTGAAAAAAAAAAGTTGATGAAGGAATTAATTTATCATATACGGAACGAATTCGTAAATAAATGGAGATTCATTGAAATAACGATGAAGCCAACCAATTAACGAAATGATTAACGAATGAAGGAAATGAAATGAAACAGAATGAAATGAAACAATGAAATAATGACAATAAACAATGAAATGGCAGAATGAGTTGGTGGTAAAAAGGCGCGAACAGAGGGATAAATAATAGTTGCATAAGTTGATCAATAACCCCCCCAACCCTCTTCCTTCCCCCTCTATTTCCCTCCCTTTCTCCCTCTTCCCCCTCTCATTCCTCTTCCCTATTCAATTTCTCTTCCACCTTATGCCTTAATATTTCTTTTTCAGCCTACACTCTTCCCCTTCCCCCCCTTCCCTCTTCCCCCCTTCCCTCTTCCCCCCTTCCCTCTTCCCCCTTCCCTCTTCCCCTCCCCCCTTCCCTCTTCCCCCTCCCCCTTCCCTCTTCCCCCTCCCTCCTTCCCTCTTCCCCCTCCCCCCTTCCCCCTCCCCCCTTCCCCCTCCCCCCTTCCCTCTTCCTCCTCCCCCCCTTCCCTCTTCCCCTCCCCTCTGTTTCCTTCACTTTACACTCCCCCCCCATCAACTCAACACACCCATTTCCCTGTTCCACATTCATTATTCACGCTTCCCCCCCCCCCAACCCTTTCCAATCTACTTCTTTCCCCTTCAATGCGATCCTTCCCCATCAATTCGTGTCTTTCCCATCAGTGGCAAGTTTCAATATCAGTGCCTCCCTTTCCTTCAATGATCCCTTCCCCTCAGTGCCCCCACTGCGTCTCAATGACCCCCCCCCACCAACAACGACCCCCCTCCCCCACAACGACCCCCTCCCCCACAACGACCCCCTCCCCCACAACGGCCCCCCTCCCCCCACAACGACCCCCCCTCCCCCACAACGACCCACCCTCCCCCACAACGACCCCCTCCCCCACAACGACCCCCTCCTCCCCCACAACGACCCCCACCCCCCATCAATGTCCCAGAATCGGCCGGAACAACGTTGGTGCTTAAACCACACTGAACATGGTCATTATCTGTTGTTTTCATAATAATCACTATCCGTCATTCATTATACAATAGGAATGCAGTGACAATTTACACTCGTGCAGATGAACGTAAATGTGTTAAAAAAAATAAGTCTAACCTAACCATTTGGGCTGGACGGTAGAGCTTTGTCTCGCGTCATGCAGGTCGGCGTTCAATCCCCGACCGTCCAAAGGGTTGGGCCACTATTCCTTCGAGTCCCATCTCAAATCCTTATCCTAATTTCTTCCAAATGATATATATATATATATATATATATATATATATATATATATATATATATATATATATATATATATATCTTTAATGGCTCGGCATTTTCTCCTTATAGTTTCCCTTCCCCTTCATGCCATATGTATACTTATAAGATAGTTCACAATGTTATGGGTAATACGATTCCATTTACCTTAATATTGCGCACACGCGCTCGCGCTCGCACACACGTCAGGGTGACCATTGGGATAAGGGCTCTTGTGTAGTTGTGTAGTTATTATAAAATAAAAGTTACAGAAGACGGAAGTCCTTCAGTGCAAGCGGTGTCGAGACGAGGGGGGGGGGAAGGAGGGGTCGAAGAGTGTGGGGAGGGGGGGGGGGACGTCGAAGAGGGTGGAGGGGGGGGGAGGAGGGGTCGTATGGCCACCCTTGAGAAGGATTTTGAAGGCGGTAATGGTTGGCATGAAGAGGCTTTAATTGTGCTTCGTCTCTGAATAGCAAGTTGAGCATCGAGACTTTGTTGAGACGAGTACAACAACGTTGTTTCGTCGACGCCCGAGTGGTTCCAAGGGTCCATATGTGCGTCACCCCCCCCCCCCCACCACTACCACAACCACCCCACACCCTCCTCCCCACCACACCCCCACCCAACCCCATACACCTCCCCCACCACCCACACGGTGCCGCCCGCTCGGCAACCTTTAGATTTGTTGATATATTTTTCACTACCCTGTGGGCGGCGGCGGCGGTGGTGGAACATCTTAGAAGCCTTATTTTCTTAGAGGCCTCCAGGTCAGGGACCGGGCCGTTGGGCCCCGAAATCATCACAAGAAATCATAGGCTCAGGAGCTCCCCCACCCCCCTAAAAAAATTATCTAGCGTTGCAGTCTTGATGAGCTAGTTACACTATTTATTGTGCATTAAGTAACGAGTTTACACGTATTTCGCGTAGACCTCGGCTTTGGTTTACTCAATTAAAAACAAAATAATTCCAGCGAGACTTCACCCCGATTGTTATTGTTTTAGTAAGTAAACGCAAATACTTAATTACACTATTATTATTATATAAGTCATTAAAATCTGAGAGCTTGGAGAGGTGACAGATTGGAGTGGAAACAGTGAACTCAAATGAGGAGTTACCATCTTGTAGCCCGGACGAGGCTGTCACTACCAGCGGCTCCATGGTCACTCCACTACTGCCAATTAGTCATTGTGAAATATTTCAAGATTAAATCGATGGTGTACAAAAATAG